ACATTAAAATTGAAGAAATGTTTACCTATTTTTGATTTTTTCTAAATATTCTGAAGTGTTTTGATTGGACATGTTACTAGGGCTGATATGCAATTTGAAATCGGGGCCAAAATATTCGAAATAATCATTATAAGGCAATTCATTTGCTATTTCAACACCTAAAGCCACGGAAGTCTCATAAGTCCAACAGCGTGATACATTACGTATGGTATAACCACCACCACCGACCATTAGGAACGGTAAATTGTATTTCTTGACAAATTCTACACATTTGCCATGTCCTTTAACAGTTAAATTAAAGCAACCCAGTCGATCGCCAGTCAAGGAGTCAGCGCCACATTGCAACACAACCGCAGCAGGTTGGAATGTTTCCATAACTTTTGATATAATCGGCACAAATATAGACTCGTAGGCATCATCGTCCATACCATCGCGTAAGGGAATGTTTACAGCATAATATTTGCCCTTGCCTGCGCCTATATCGCGCAAATCACCGGTACCTGGAAAATATTCCCCATATTTGTGAAAACTGACTGTCATAACACGATCAGTGGTGTAAAATGCTTCCTCCACTCCATCGCCATGATGTACATCTATATCTATATAGAGAACACGTTGATGGTATTTTAAAAGTTCCAATATGCCCAATACAATATCATTAACATAGCAAAAACCGGAAGCTTCGGATTTTTTTGCATGATGCAGTCCACCACCCCAGTTTATACAAATTTCTGATGCTTGTTTATTTAGTTTTACAGCTGCTGCTACAGATCCACCAGCCGAAAGCTGACAGAATTCGTAGAGTCCATCAAATACTGGACAATCTTCACCTACATTAAAACGCTGCATTTGCTTGTTGTACTCGGACATATTATCAGGTCGTATGGATCGTAAAAAACGTACATATTCATCTGAATGGAATTTGGTCATCTCATCTGCTGTTGCTTTATGTGGACGCTAAAAGTGAATATGGAATAATAAAAATTTACTTAGGAAATCTATTTAAATATATTATATATAAAGTAGTTTAATAAGCATTATAATGGTAAAATCAAATCAATATGGATTTGCCTTACATTTTTAAAAGTGTGCACAACACTCTAAAATTTTTTATGTTTTCAGGACTGAATTATTTGGAGTTTAATTTTTTACTTCCATTTAGTTTAAGAGTCTAATTGGTTTCCAAAAGTAATGAAGTCCCAAAACGAGCCGTCAATATTGACGATCAAGTACAAAAGTCCAAGAACAGCAGAGGCTACGTTCTAGACTCACTCGTCAAGTTCGACGACTAACAGTCATTCAACATTCCCAAAAGGGACAACGCAAGTAGATCACTACGGACTACAACAACAACATCAAGTACCTACAGTGCATCACCCTCACTTCAAACTTAACTAAGTCTTATACTTATTTTATATGGCAGAATAAAATTCGATTAGAGTCCGTAAGAGCTTTCCAACTGTGGTCAGATTTACATCGAAAAGTCACTCGCCACAATTTTGATGTCAAAGTATTGTTTGAAAGTCATCTCCCCAGTGATGCAAGTACTATTCGATAAGGATATAGTCAGATATTTAATAATTATATTTGTCTTATAAATATGTCCATTCTCAATGTGTACCCTCTTTACTGCAGCTGTTCTCATTATGCCGTCACCCATATGTTTTTATGTCCCCAAACTCAAGCTCTATTCATTTATGGCTCTACAACGTTAAAGTGACAAAAAATTCTTTTGTCTGGACCTCAACTACATTCGGCATCAACTTCCCATTCTCATCTCATACTACAGTCTTATGATCCAAGTTTCAACTCGAAAACAAGCCATGTTCAGAATACGGGCTATAACAAGGTGGACTAATAACATTAGTTTCAATCGTTTGAAATTGTTTTTATTGTATTTTGTCTGAACAGACACTATATCTTAAACACTGCAATTTGATATACACTATTTTTTACTTACTAATATGATTTATAGTTACTACACGGACCATTTCTTGATCCCAAACACTTTAAGGAAACAACTTAATACAAAATTTGCTTTGCCTGTGCCACATTGAAGTGCTTAGGGTCTTCCACCTTGACCTAGATTGACTTTGATTAAAAGCCCATCTACACCTATTCCATTGTTGCTTCCAAACAATACCCTCTAACACTACCATCACCAACCCACATCTTAACGCATGCACACGTATTTGTAATATCTTTCATATTATCTGTTCTATAGATCTCGGCAGGTTATCACAACAACAATCTACCGTGATGAAGTATTTTATACAAAAAAATAGAATTCAATGGTGCAATTTACTGTTTTCTTGAACATTTACAAAATAACATTGTGATTAAGACTAGTCTGTGAAACAAAGGATAAGATAGGCCGTACTATCAGCTGCATCTTTCAACAATTTTTCGATATTTATCATTCCTTATGAATACCTCATGTTACTGGATTCTATAGTTTCATTCTATAGTTTGTGATGTGAAGTAGTGTGAGCTATAAAATGCTTTAATTTTTTTTTTTTGAAAAGAGAAGGTGCTAAACTATCTATGATTTGATCATTTGGTTACTAATAAAAAAGCTATAAATATAATTTCAGCCTTATAAATTATTGCAATCTATAAAGTTTTTCATCTACTGCTTGTTAAATTTTAAAACAATTTCTAAAATATAACTTGAAGAACAGTTCGTTTAAACAAATTTTTATTTATATTATACACAGTTTTCCAAGTAAAATTTAGCCCATCTACCTGCTTAACATTCTTTTTTACATATGAAGCCTCAGAGTAAAACTTTGTAGTACCTAGGCATGTCTTGAGTTATCCATGTTTTCAGACGACCAAGTATCTGTCATCGCTTTTAACATGATATTAAAAAGCTACAGAAGTAGAAAGAAGTAGAAGTTTCTACAGAAGTAGAAATTTAATTGACGTGATTTCGTGCCATGAAGTCCCAACACCACGGTGCTCTTAACACACTATTAGTATATTACGCCGCTAACCACCACATTGAAACTTCGACAAATTGCACCGATACCAATGGAAACTATACGTTTGAATATAGTTCCCTTCTTGGTGAGCAACGAGGCCTATCTAACACCTTTGCTGGTTTTTGGGGCACAACACCCGGTTGGAAAATGCAACTCCACATGGAATAAAACTAAATAAGTTACAACAAGAATAAAATTTCGAATAAACCGTCGACAGTTCGGCGATTGTTCGACTATTGTTGAGTTCCAACAACAGTTGGAGAACCGCAGCTGATTGACCTTTCACTCTTCTAAACTGGGGCTTCTACGCTGCAACGACTGCAAGAGGCGCCATTTATGTTTATATTATTTTATTGAATTTCAAAATAAAATGAAAATATGTTTACTGCATGTGTGTAATTCTTGAGATTACAAGAAACTTGAAACCTGTTAATATAATGGATATATATACCACATATATAAATATTCCATGTTTAGTCAGAAAAAAAACAATTAACTAAAGCAATTTACATTTAAATTTCATACTAAAAAATAAAAATACAATCAAGTAAATAAATAAACATATTCATAAACTTACATATATTTCCATTTTTCTATATAAACCATAATTCAACAATAAATTATGTGTCATACGTATACGGTGTGGTTTCATCGGATGTCCCTGTCCATAGTAGTAATTGCCAATATCACCTGTTAAAATGAAAAATGTTAATATACTTTTAAATAATTAAATTAAAATTTAATTTAAAAAAATCTTATTTTTTCAAATCATTAAAAATATTCAATTTTAATGAGAACATCAAACAGATTTTTTGAAGAAAGTCTGAATTAATTTTCACCGGCTTTGCTAATATAACACGTACACATAATACGGCCACCAGAAAAGTGAGCTGTGACTGAAATATAACGCGGCAAGGGACACTGAGTTTAGAGTTTAAGATACACAAAATTTTAATTTTTATGGGTGAGATTGCAAATAATTTTTTTTATTACATTTTTACGATTTTATATAAAACAAACACTTGTTTTTATTGTTAATTTAGTCAATAACAAAAAGAAAGAGTTTTATTTTTAATAATACATATAATATTGCAAATATTTAATAAATACTTACTGTCGTAATAATAGCACACACGCTTTTTACTGTGAGACTGCATTGTTGACTATATTGTCCAGTTCGAATTTTTTTTGGAAAACAAAAAAAGACTTTTTTATTTAATTTAAATAATTAATATTCCAATATTTTTATTTTATTCTTTTTTTTCGCTAATACCGCGTACAGACAAGCAAAGCGCGTCCTAACTATTCTACGTATATGCTGGAATGAGAGAACAAAGAAACAATTTTGACAAATTTGACAGCGAATAATTGCCATCCACATAATGCGCATATCTTGCCTATATTTTGAATGTCGCTTTGTGCCCATTGGTTTGTGTACAGACTAAATGGTGAATTGTTGAATGAAATAAAAAAACTTAATAATGCCTTAATATATATAATTAGAGATATAAATTAAAAGTTGACGAAAAATTAGTTTTACAAATTCCTGCACATAATATTTTTAATACAAGCTAGTCTTGAAGACGACTGTATAATTTAATTGCGATGGAGAAACATTACGCAAAAGTATTCCTAGGGCATGAATAAATGAACATTCAATAAATTAAACTAAAAAATAATAATAAAATAATTTTATAAAATAAAGTATAAAAAATCTTCTATGTATTATATCAACAAAAAACAAATTATTTTTCTAGGAAAAAAAGAAATTAAATATTGAAAAACTATACAAAAAAAATTTATTTGAACTTTTATGTATTAAATTTTTATAAAATATAATGATAAGTCGTTAACTATAAACTTACAATTTATTTTATTTATTAAAAGTGATACTTTAGTGTAAATAACTAAAAATTAACATGGATAGATATAGAGGGCGTTTACATTATAATGAGCTCATTTATGCAACTGTTAGAACTTCACTTAATAATATAGCACACAAAAAATTATATACTAAAATATTTATGTGATTGATCTTTTAAATTATTTACATACATACATCTTATATATCAACTACATACATAATTAATAAAAACAAAGATTTTATTAAATACTTACTTCCTCAGTGCTTTTGTTTACAGCTCAGCTGTTGTTTGTTCACATTTTCAATTTCGGTATATTCCCTTGTGAGAAATTTATTTTTAACGGTTGCATTCGACATTTTTCGACTATAATGACCTGATTTATTAATAATGAGCTCACTTATATAAAAGTATTTTCTGTGGTATATCATCCTCATTAGAGGCTATAATGAGCGTAACCATATAAATAAACCAGTGTAAATGTTCTATTAAACTTACAATTGAAGCAACTAAATCTTTTATATTTGCAAAGAAATTTAGTTGTGTTAAATTTCATTATTAGAAAACCATTTATCCAAAATGTGAGGCGATGCATGTATTCAGTAAATTTATAAACGGTTTAGAAGCATTTCAGAAAAATTTTCAAGCTAGTTAGTCAACTTCAACGATGACTATATAAAATAGTTTCATATTTAAATGCAATTATTTATATTTTTTACCTCAAGATCTATTAACCTAGTAGCCTACAAAATACATTAAAATTAAAATAAAACTTAATGGTCATTAATACACAGCATTTTTTAAAAAATGTAGGGAATTTTTTAAAATGTGGATGCAAAATGTTTTTATGTTGCATAAAAAATATTTTGATATTTTAATATGAAAAGAATTGCAGCATTTAATGCATCACATAATTACAATTTCTTTTGAATATAATGTATAGGTTTGTTAATGCTAATACATAATAATTATCATAAATAAAGCAAAATAATTTTAACGCTGTGGCAACCCTTTTTAATTTGGTTTCGTATACAAAAAGATAATCAAAAAGAAAAATCAAATTGTTTACCTCAGTTCGCCGCTGTGCCGAAACTGTGTGAGGCAAATAACAAGAATCAAAACAAAATGGCTGTTTGAATTATGTGCAGGGTTGATGTTATTGTACTTTTTATCTATTTTATTATAACTTCATGTCCATACATATGAATGTGAATTATGCATCTCAACATATTATTTTATGATTAATAATATAAATGTTTTAAAAATTTTTTAATAATATTATTAAGAAAATCATATTATATGAAAAACAATCATTATTTGTTTAAATACACACTTATGTGGTATGATAAATGATACGATACATCTTATTTTGAACACACTAATATTATTTATTACCATAAAAGAGTTTAACAACAAAAATGTTATAAATTTGTTAAAAAGTTATAATAATAATGTACTATTTCACTTTTTTTATATATATGGATATATTATAAAGGCGCTAAAGGTCTATGTATATAGAGCTTATATTTTATATATGCATAAAAATATAAGAAATAACCCATATTATATGGTTATGAGGAATTTAAAATTTCACATAACACTTTTTATATTATCTCTGCATTTTAATTATGTATTAAAATAATAAATCAGCATTAAAATAAATTATTGTTAGGAGTTATCCAAGGATAATTATATTAAGTCTGTTCCACGAGCTACTCTTAGTAAAACTCAAGTAAAGTACAAACCGAAAGCGTAATGCTAAATCACGCTCTTTACACGATTTTCATGGAACAGCTTTATGTAAAGTCTGGTGAGAGCACCAGTGCCGTGCAAATCAACAATACAAAAATTGAAACAGAAATTATACTTGAAATAAAATGTACGAGTAAAGTCTGTTTGGCATTTTCAAATTAAGACAGGGATGTTACGTTCTCTTAGATGCTCTTATTTACTCGAAAATTTGCTGGTGGAACGCACTTGTGTATGCACAGTGTTACTCAAAGTTACTACGAGTAGCTCGTGGAATTGACCTATTATATAGATACTAATCTCGTTTGAGGTAATTGTTTTGCAAAAACAATTACAATTACAATTACATTCGGAAATATCCAATACCTTAATGCAGCTATGCACACAGAACAATGATTGGAGTTAAAATAAATACTGAAATAAGCTGATTTCACACTATTTGGAAAGATTTGACTGATTTTGGTGCAGAAAGCATTTCTCTATTGCTTGGGGTAACACGCTTGCTTGGTATCATAATTTATAACAATGAATACTAATAATTCATGAAATATTATCTAAAAAATCTTGAAAATTCTTATTTTATGTTATAATACATCTTGAGGAAGTCGATTATTTGCTTTTCAGAAAAAGTGTATAAAAACTAAATCCAGTAGTCAATATTCATTCCTATTTATTCATGCAATATCTATTAAGTTTTATTTTCTAAAAATTATTATTTGTATTAATAAAACATGATATATAATTATTAACCATCCATACTGAAACGAATTTAATGTATTGTCAAATACAATGCAACCCTGGTTTTGGTACAAAGCAGATTAAAGAAATTCGCTGTTTTCGCTGCTTTCGCCTACTCAAATGCTTCAGTCTGGTTTGTGCGGTTCGTGTGTTTGCGTGTAGAAATTTATTTGGTTGTGTCGGCGGCTTTAATGCAGTTTTTCAATTCAAATAAGAAAATTTAAAGTCATTCATATTAATGTTTTCTTATAGAAACAAATCATTAAAGATTCACTAAAATATTAAAGTATTTATTTATTTAAATTAAATGAATGTTAAGTGATAAAAATGTGAAATGAAAAAGAAATTAAAAGAAAAAATTTTTGTCTCGCCCCTTTTTGTGTGAAACTAGTTTTTATTGAAGTTTATGTTTTGTTGTTGTCTTTTTTTTTTGTGTTTTTGTTTTAAATAATGTAAAAGTTGTTTTTATCAAACAAAAGTGAAATATATGTGTAATATTTGTTGAAGCGAAAAATCCAGAAATATTTTTATTTTTGTTATTATTTGTCTTATTATATGCAGTTCCATGCTGAATTTGTGCAGACATCTGTGGTTGCCTCTTACCTTCTTTGTATCCTGTTTTTCGTTTCTGTTTGCGTTTGCGAATTAGCAACATAAAATTTACTTTATGCTTTTTTGTAGCATTGTTGTTGTTGTTGTCGCTGTTGCTGTTTTCGTCTCCATTATCTTACACAGCCTCGTCCCACTGTCTGCGCCTAGCGTATCTGTCTTTTTAGTTTACTTTTTAACTTTTTTGTTTATTCCATTTTTTATTTTTACCAGCTTTTTGCTGTCTCCAAGGAAGAAACGCACTGCGGGCATCAATTTTTTAATCGCTTTCCTGACTTCTTTAGCTTAAATTTTCTTCCTATTTTTATGTGATTTTCTTTTAAATTTTCCAATTAGTCTTTGTGATTTCGGCTGCTAAGTGAATTAAAAAAAAAACAAAAAATTATCCACGTATGTGAGTTGGAGTTTTCCAAATACCGGAAAAATTCATTTTCAAACTTATAAAATTTAATGTGGAGAACGGCTGCGGTTGATGTAAAAAAATAATTGTGGTGAGTATTTTTTTTTGTAATCATTTGTTTATGCTTATGATATACTTAGATATTAACCATTATTTATTATTAATTATTATACTTTTTACTATTAAATATTTTCAATTATTAAAACTATTATTTATTATTATTATTTATATATTAATAATAATAAATAAATAAGTAATAATAAATAAAAAAATAAATAATAATAATAATAATAATTAATAAATAAAGTAATAAATAAATAATCATAATAATAAATATATAATAATAATATATATAAAATAATATGAAATTATTTATTATCATTAACATAATTATGTATTATTGCTTTCTTTATTATATTATATTATATTTCGTTTATTCAATCTATTAATTATACTATAATTGAAATAACTATTATTCGTTATTATTAATAATTTTAAAATTATTGGTAAATATTAATACAAATATAATTATTATTTATTTATTATTATTGTTATTATTAATATATTATTGATTTTTTATATCGTTATATATTATTATAAAAATTATTATATATTATTAATTTCATTTATTAATCTTATTATTATATATTTTTAATTCTATGTATTATTATTATATATTATTGGTTTTATATAATATTATTCTGTTAGATTTGTAATTTTCATACATGAATATTATTTTTTATTGTCTATTATTATTTATTATTGTCTATTATTATTATTTATTATTGTCTATTATTATTATTTATTATTGTCTATTATTATTATTTATTATTGTCTATTATTATTATTTATTATTGTCTATTATTATTATTTATTATTGTCTATTATTATTTAACATATTATTGTCTATTATTATTATTTATTATTATTATTATTATTTATTATTGTCTATTATTATTATTTATTAT